AAATAGATGAGGAAAGAACTGTCTAATAGAAATATATGATTAGGTATTATTTGCATGACAACAGTCCAGAATAAAAGCTGCATAGAAAAGTGGACTAGGGGGCAGGGAAAGGGAGTTTAGTTAACTGTGCAACAATGAAAGAATCTTTTTAAAGAGAAAATTGAACTGGAGTGGGTACGGAGGAAAATGTACAACAATGAAAGAATGGAAATCCAAGTTTTCATTTAGTAACCACAATAGCTTTCTGAAACGTGTCTCCTCTCCCTACCCTTAGTCCTGTCCATCCTCTCCGGCCTGGACCTTGTTAAAGCTTCCTCTCCAATGCTTGCCTGAGCAGAGAGAAAACCTTCCCACAGTGAGGGCCAAGAAGAGCAGAGAGATGATGGCAGCCAGATGGGGCTTCAAGGGCCACAGTGAAGGTGTTACCTTTTATCCTGGCCACATGCCCAAAGTATGTGAGATGGATAGATTCCTTCATTCCTCAAATACTTAAAGTATGACTATTACAACACGGAAGCTCTGGTGCCTTCGGAGAGTTCTGATGGCTTAGTCGTAAGGAATTGTATTGCCAAGGCAAAAGAACACAGTTCAAACCCACCAGCAGCTCCATGGGAGAAACATGGGCAATCGCCTCCCATGTGATTTACTGCCTCCAAAAATCCTCTGGAGGGTCAGCTATGGGTTGGTTCTAAAGGCATTCTGGTGACACAGTCCACAGTAAATTGCACTGCTAATCTACAGGCCCTGGAGGTAGCTCCGGTGGTCCAAAGCCACCAGTGGCTCCACAGGACAAAGATGGGCAGCCTCTTTTGATGTACAGCCTCAGAAACAAGCAAGAAAGTCAGCTGAATGAGAATGGACTTGAGGAGAGTGAATTTACTTAGAATAAGGGGCAAAGTCCACCTTTACAGCATTTTCAAGGCAGGCAGCACAAAGACTAAATGGAAATGTGTAGCATGTCAGAATGAATTGAAAACAAAGCTGCTGTTTTATATACCTTCCAGTGGGAACTGACCTACAGCTGCCCTCCAGCAGTTACTCTGAGACAGACATAACAGGGCAGATTGCCCATCTGGTGGGTTCAAACTGTATGCCATGAGGGTGGCAGCACAACTTATCACTAAAGCAGCCCACACTAAAAAAGTCCACTGTCACTGGCTCCATTCTGACTCGTAGAGGTCCAACACTGGGCTCCCGGGGGTCTAAGTCTGAGAGCAGACACCTTTATCTTTTTCCCCAAGGGGCTGAATAGTCAAGCCACAATCCGTTGGTTAGAAGCCCTGCCACACCACCAGGGTTCTTTACATCAGAAGGGATAGGATATACTGGGCAGATCACAGTATTCAATGAATCGGCAAGGGCCATAGGAGCATAGGAGGGGAGGGAGCCCACCTGCAGAAGATTCCTGGCTGGCATAGCTTGTCACATCTGTCTATCACTGGACTTCAGACCTGCTCAAAACTTATCAAGGGTGCCCCCTTCTTCCATACTCAAGACTGGAGGGCAGATTTGAATTCTTCTTAGAAACTTCTGAGCCTCTTATAAAATCCTGAATCCAGTTCATTTTGGCCCAGTTTCAAAAGAATTTTAAACAGTGAAGAAAAGTTCAAGTATACCACTGCTCCATGGTAGAGATGGGCAATCTTCTCTCGTGCAATTTACAGCCTCCTAAAACCTACTGAAGGATCAGCTATTGACTCAGTTCCAACTTGATGGCCATGAGAAAGATTAAAAAAGAGCAGAGTGCTGCAATCTGTTAAGGCACACAGCTTGAGGCCACCAGCTGCTCTGTGGGAGAAGGATGGGCAATCTCCTCCCACGCAACCAACTGCCTCTGAAAACCAGAGGGTCAGCTATTGGTCAGTCCCGTTTCTACGGTACACAACAGCAGCTCTAGATACAAGGAGGTTCTGGGTACCTATTGGTAAGAAGCTGCACTACAATCTCAAAGGCATATGGTTCAAATCTACCAGTTGCTACATGGGAGGACTGGCAATCTCCTTCTATGAAATTTTTTGTTGTTGTTGAGTACCATCAAGTCAGAACCAACTCATAGCTGACCCTCCAGTGGGTTTTCAGAAGCAGTTAATCGCATGGGAAGAGACTGCCTATCCTTCTTCTGCGGAGCAGCTGGTAGATTCAAACTGCATGTCTTTGGGATTGCAGTGCAGTTTCTTACCAGTAGGCCACGAGAGCTCCCTCCCATGCAATTTACTGCCTGTCAGCTGAGTCGGTTCCAACATGAGGGCACACAACAACAGCATGAGATGCAAGTGGCTCTGGTGGCACGGTCCATAGAGTCACCCTGCTAATCCAAATGCTATACTTCTCTGGTGGTTTGAATCCACTGGCTGCTTCTTGGGACAAAGATGGGTAATTCTCCATGAGATTTACAGCCTCAGAAATCCAATGGAGAATAAGCTGTGTTAGCACCAACTTGACAGAAATGAGACAGGCAGCAGTAGATGCTGTTGGACCATCAGCGGCACTTTTAGGAGAGTCCAATCTATGACCAGTATGGCATGGTAACAATTTCCATGTTAATACAGACAAATGGATAGAAGTGCAAAAAAGATTTAATCTGGATATGGATTTTTCTATTTATTCAGTCATTCAACTAAAATAACTACTTATACACCATTGTAGAAGTGAAAACGAGGCCGGGAGGTGTCTGGCCCAAGGTCCCACAGCTATCATTTAAGGAGTGCCTCACTTAACTCTAAAACTTATGGAGTAGATGGTACCAGTATTTTATAGATGTGGAAACTGAGGCACTGAGTTAAAGTAACTCACCCCAAACCATAGCCAGCAAGTTGCAGAGCTTGGATTTGAACTTGAACAAGCCAGAAGCCCACACTGTTAAAACAGAGCTCTGCTGTCCAAAGTGGGGGGTGGGCAGTGACCATTTCAAAACCAAATGAAATGTAAAATCCTGGTTTGCCAGCCATATTAGCCCCACATCAGGGAGCCCAGTGGTAAGAAGCGCTGCTAATCCAAAGGCAGGCAGCTGGAATCTACCAGCTCCTCTGTGGGAGAAAGGTAGACATTCTCCTCCTGCAATGCACAGCCTATGAAAGCTGTTAGAGGAGCAGCTATGCGTTGGTCCCAGGTGAGTGGTGAGCTGAACTGAGCTGCTATTCTGATACTCACTCTAAGTGACCACTCGCTGCTGTACTGAACAACACAGAGAACATGGAATGCCTCATGCAAAAATTTCTATCGCTGCCACTGCTACTACTGTCTGCCTGTTTTAGTTAGAAGTCAATGTTTGTAAATTAGGAAAATGCATGGGGAAAAAACCCCAAAACCATATCAACTCGATTTCTAGCTTCTATAAAAGAAAATCAGAAGATGAAATAAGTCCAGGCCTACATTCCTAAGTGACCAGACTAAAGCAGAGTAGGCCCACTGTCCTGTGATGGGGACAGTGGCCCACCAGAATCCCAGGGAGCCCATACTTCACATATTTATAAAGCAGCCTGGAGGCTACTTGTCTGCAGAATTCAAGATTCTGTCCTCACTTCTCTCCACAGGTGGAGTCTGGAGTCAGAGAGGGAGCAGCACATTTTTGCAAATCACATAGCACAAAGGAAGACACAGGACCCAAGCAGTCCGATTCCCAGGTCGGGGAAGCGGCCCACTCTTTTCTTTGCAGCCCGTTTGGCTGCTGCAGGAGAAGGATGATAACCCTTGTGTCCCTAACCTCACCCCAATGCCCCCATCTGGAGACTCTCCGGACACAGGAGCTGTGGCATCTGGTATGGACTTTATTGGACACGTGGCTTCCCATCTCTTGGGTCTGGGAGCCCCGGGGCCAGGACCCAGGCAGTAAGTTTGAGGTGGCCCAGGAATCAGGGCTCTTTGGAGCGAGGCCAGAAGCGGCTGGTTAGAGAGCCAAAGAAAAGCTTCTGCTTGCTGGACTTGGAGAGCTCGGCCAGGCGCTGCTGTTCCTCCTGTGGCAGACAGGCAGATGGAGAAGGGGAGTCAGTCCAGAGCCAGCAGCTTCCTCTTGCGACTCCCACTCATCCTCATCCCAGGGACCAGGGACCAGCACCCTGATCTGAACCCCTAGGCTACGATCTCATACAAAGGATTATCCCAGGCTCCAGGGATCTGGCCCGGACACTGGCAACAACCAACTGTGAAAAGCAGGTGCTCTGGCCGAGGCTCAAATCTCAGGTGTTCAGGGGCTCCCAACTCTCATTATTCCATTTCCAAGATACGAAGGGTCCCCAAGCTTGGATGCTAACAAAACCCTGGTCCGAACCTCAGGGGCCTTTTCCCTTGGCTGGATGGTCCTGTGACCTGAGCCAACAGAACTGAAGATCCCTGCTGGTGCTGGGGTACCTCAGGCCTTGATCACTAAGAACCTCTTCTCTAGGCACTCAGGGAATCCAGGAACACAGCCGAGTCTAGTCACTGTCAGCATATCCCTGGAGATCTTGTCCTCAAACTCACCCCACGCCCTTAGCCCTCTTCTCAAATACTAAGGTGCCATTAAGACCATTTGATGTCTTTTTTCAGACCCCCGGGCCTTCAGAGACCCCCCCAACCCCAGATCTGTCCTAAACTCCATAGTCCACCTCCACAAAGAACCACCTGGCTTAGGCATCAGGAGCACTCACCTGCTCTAACCGGCTCTGCCGCTGCTTAAAAGCTTCCAGTGGGTCCTCCTCCAGCGCGTAGTGCTCCAGCACTGTCCGGACATCCTCCACGCCGTTCAATGCAATGGCTATGGGCATAAGGGTAGGGAGTCAGCGGGCAGAGGGAGGCATGGCCTTCATGGAAAAGGTCAGACACTGGGGCTCCGTGCTCCTGAAAGGGTCTGAACCTGGAATATACTCAAGCACCCCCTAAGCACTCCAGAGGAGCGACTAGAAAACTTCTAAAGACTCCCAAGATGCTCCCAGATCTCCTACTTCTCAAGGGCCCAGTGTTACACTTAAGACAAGCCAGAATCAAATGTCCCTCATCCCTTCTGAGGGGCAAGGGGCCCAAAGGTCAGCCTCACTCTTGAGAAAGGCAGACAGGTCCAACAAGACCCGGTCGTCAGAGTTGCCGTCCCAGGGCCGCAGGGCCACCCCGTTGTAAGGCTGCAAACGGAAGGCTTCCTTCTTGCAGTCCACAACGACCACACGGGCTGGGTCTCGATTCAGACAAGAAATGTCCTGGAAGGGAGAGGTAGATCAGGTGACTGCCCGAGTCCCTTCCTTCCCTGCAAGTAACCCACAGAAGAGACAGAAAGATAGACACAGAACACACTCTGTGGATCCCCAAGACCAGGCTTGTGTAGAACACATCAAACTTCCCAGGAAGCTGGGGAGCTAGTCACACACAGATTCCAAGAATTCCCACCCAGACTGATGTCTCCACATAGAGGGTGGCTGAGAGGAAGGAAGGAGCCAGACAATTCCCAGGAAACTAGAATATGCTGGCTCCTCAAAGGTGTGAGAACTTCTCATCTGGATACAGAGGTGCAAGCAGAGCTATAAGAAATAGGCACACAGACATTCACACCACACAGGCCTAGACTGCCAAACACATGGACACACAGACACTCCCAACCCCTGAACCCTTCAGAACACCCGCCCCAAACCTACAAAGACAGAAATCCATGAACACTTACTCATGGTCTTCTGGACACTGGATACAAAACTAGTTTAACTTTGGGTCAAACAGACACCAAGCACAATCTCATATTAACTATTATAACTATACAGTCCCAAAATTCTGAGGCCCAAATATGCTGACACAGATTCTATGTCTCTACCCCTCAGCCAGGTGGACTGACATAGTGACTGCAGTGATGGGCTCAAGTATGTTGGAGACTGTGAGGATGACACGGGACAGGACAAGGTTGAGATCTGTGGGTCGTCCTCAACTCGACAGCACTCAACAACAATGATCCCTCATCCCTGACTTTCTTCTTTTATAAGATCTCATTTCCCCAGACTTCCACCCCAGTTTCTGAGGAAGGGAAGAAAGGTGAGAGGTCCAGTCCAGGCCTGACTAGCAGGAATCAAAGAGGGATGCGCTTTCTCCAGAGAGGTGCCAACCACTCAAGTGCCCCATCCCAGAAGCCCAACCATGACACCTTAACATGGTGCCCATCCATGTATCTTGTAGCATCCCGAAAGAGGCGGTAGGAGATGAAGCCGTGAGGGTCCACGCTGTCAATGAGAGGAAATGCTGTCTGTATGGTGAGTGGGGAACAGGAGGAAGGACAAGATGAGTTTGAGCCCTGGCCCTCAGCAGCCCCCACCACTCTGACCACCTCTCCCTTGCCCCCTCACCATGCCAGTTTCTGATGTAAAGATGACAATTTCATATAAAGGAGCGAGCTGCTGGAACAAGGTCTCGATGCCTGGACGTTTCTTAAACCTCCAGCCAGTGGCTAGCTAGGGAGGTAGGGTGGGACAGTGAGACACAGAGGCCCTCCTCAAAGCCCCTTTGAGAACAAAGACCAAACCACGAAAATTCCCAGAACCACAGTTCTCCCACTCTGTATTTATATCTCTACAAGGGGCAGGGATAGAGGCTCTGTGAATCTGCAGGATCAGGTCCTAAAACAGCTATCTCCTCGGTAACCCTTCCCACATGTCAAGACACTCATCCCAACCCCACTAAGTGGATACTAGCATTCTTTTCTTTTCACAGCTAAGGAAAGTGAGCCAATGAGAAGGGGTACTTCTACCCAAGGACACATGGCAGAACCGGGGCAGACCTCCAGCCTGGCTCTTGGAACTAAGCTCTCAATGACATTCTAAGATCCAGACCCCCAGAGTTGTCCCCTTAGTCTGCTCTCTTCCCCAGGACCCACCGACCACTCAGGATGCAAAAGGACGCCAGTCAGCTCCAAGACCAGTGTGTAGGGTGGCTGGTAGTAGGGCTCCCGCAGAGGGTCTGGGAGCAAGCAGGGGCTGGTAGGCTCAATGATCATCTGTGAAAGATGGACAGTACATACAGGGCGCCCTCAGACAGAAGTCAGGGGCTAAAGAAGAGAAGGACTGTGGACAGGGAACCAACTTACCTGTCGATAATCTTTGAAGTATTTGTACGTCCGGCGCAACTGCTGCACCAGGATGGGATCTAGAACATCAGGGCACAGAGGAATGTGGAATCAGTCCCTGCTCAAGCACCCTCTCAGACCAAACAGAGCTTTGTTTGGCTACCAAACCATCTTACAAACCTACCTGCTTTGAACTAGTTTGTTTCTAGGTTCAGAAATAAAAAGCAGTACAACGATATAAGCACCAGGTAGAAAAGCAAAAGGTATTTCTCAACCTGCTCAAATTTCACCCAAGGATTTACATTAACACAGCACCCCAGGTGTAAAGCAGAATGACAGTACACCCCTATAGCTACTTGAACATTACATGCATTATGTTTTAGCAACAGACTGCTGACATTACAAAATACATCTGCTCCACTCTGATCCACTGTGCTTCCAATCTGCTCACTTTTGAGCCACACTGCTGAGTCTAATTAGACTAGAATAAACAGATATGTATTTTTAAGTTTTAAACTGGCAGTTTTCAAACGGTGGCTAGGCAGGGCAGAGGGACATTTTAGATTGCCACACTACTGACACCTAGTGGACAGAAAGGTCCAACATGCAGTTAAAAACCAGGTGCTACAAAGCAGACCAGAGGGCCACAACAAAGAATTAACTTCAAAACAACAATGCTAAGATAATGAATCCATCTTAAATCCACTTTGCTGTTGTGTGCCACAAAGTCAGAACTGACAGAGGAGGAGACTATCCATTTTTCTCCTGTGGAGCAACCGGTGGATTCTAACTGTGTGCTTTTGGTTTGGCACACAGTTCTGCAACCTCCAAGCCACCAGAGCTTCCTAGTAAATCCAGTTTACTGATGACTTACTCTACTCACATGACTCTACTTCATGTAGTATACTCAAACCAAGTAAACCTGTGGGCTTGCCTTTCGAAAACAATATGGAAGCCACTTAGGCTAGTAAACACGTAACTTGTTTATCTGCTCATTTTAGTGAATTGATTAGTTCAAGACTGTGTGCATCTTTCCAGATCCAGCAGCATCGTTATATTTACATGCCCATTTACAAACATCCACAGCACAGGACAGAACTGCCCCACAGCATTTCCGAGGCCGAAATCTTCCTGGTAGCAGATAATCATACCTTTCTCCTATTCCCCAGTACAAACAGGTGGCTTAAAAAAAATTTTTTAACCCTGCCTGGGAAGGGTTGGGTGTGATAGGAACTGGCAACTAAATTTGTCAGAAACTCCTCACTAAAAGTTGATTAACCAGAATGTGTAAGAAGCCATTGTTTTGTGCAACAATGAATGAATGGAAATCCAAAGTCTCTGTAAATTTTCACTGAAATTAATAATAATTTTTTTTTTTTAAAAAAGAAGCCATTGTTTTGGAAATAAGAGAGCCGGATGAGGTGAGGATTTGGGGGAGAAGTGGCTGTCATAAAGAGGAGGTTAAGGGCTAGAGGCTCAGATCTGAGGAAGCCATTTATCTAGCATGGGCCCTTCCTTTCTCTCCAAACTCCCCCCTCCCCTCCCTCATCTGGAACTGACCATCTGCTCTAGCACCGAGGGGCCAGAGAAGGGGACTGGGTTTTGTATTGTAATGTCCCTCTCCTCCCAAAGCTATCCAGCTGCCGATTCTCTTACCCTCCAATGGGAGGAGGGAAACAGGAAGGGGGTGCACCAGGTGGGGAGAACATAGCCCTGCACAGGGCAGGCAGAGTTGGCAGGACTGTAGTGGAGCAGTGGTGGATCCCCGAACCAGGGCCTGTTTACTTACCATTGTCAAATTCATCAGGAATCTGCCAGGAAAAGAGACAATAGGGGTTGATGAAAGCAGGGACAAGACCCTACCACATCCCACAAAAGGAATCTCTACTGAAGACGACCAGGCAATGGGTGCCTAGGAGGAAGACACTCCAAGCACTAATTGGCCTGTGTAGACCAGAGAACCCCTTCCCACAGCCTGATAAGACTGTATCCCTAGCATGACATTTGTATCCCTCTCCTCCTCACCTTGGCACCAGTTTCATCCACAGAGTTGTTTCCTGCAAGGAAAGGAATGAATGAGAATAGGAGCCCACTTTTCTGGGTCCTGAGGGAGAAATAGGACATGGAGACTGGACTCCTGGGTTCTGGGACCTGTCTTTCCCCATCTTCCCCTCTTCTTATGAGCTGCTGGTAAGCTAGTGCAGGAGTCAACTAGTATGAACACAATCTCAAAGAAGGGAGAAGAGAGAATCCCTCCTCTTCTGAATAGGTGTCCTAGTTGGCTCCCTAGTGAGGAAGGAGCATGACTAAAGAGAAATAAATAAAGCTCCAGAGGGAAGGTCTGATGATTGAACAGGAGACCAACAAGATAAAGATGGAGACAAGGGTGTGCTCCTCACCAAAGATATAGACGATGCTCACAGTCCCACCAGCCCCTAGCAGCCCTGCAAGCCAAAGCGCAACCTTCTTGGCGTAGCTAGGGCCCTCAGAGTTCTGTTGCTGGTGCTGCTGCGATCCCTGGGCCTGAGTGCCTCCATGGCTTCCAATCTCCACAGCCTGTGGATGAGAAGAGGGCAAGCTGGCCAAAAGAGGAGACAAACCTAGAGTGATCTGGACACCCTGACCCCTAAATGGAATCAAGCTCCAGAGCTAGGTGCAGATGCCCACACAGTCTCCAAGGATCCTGTTCCTGGAGGGGACAGCAGGGAGGGATGGTCAAGAACTAGACTGTCAAATGCCTATAAGAGTACTAGAAATACTGAAGGCAACAGGACTGACTGAAGGGCCTGAATCCCAGAAAAACAAGGGAGAGAGAAGGGATCTGAGGACTTTGGCATTTGGACATCTGGAAAGAGGGGACTGGGCGGGAAGACATCTAGATTGCTGGAGCTCATGGGAGCAGGGTACTGAGTGGAAGGGATGGGAGCCGGGAGGAGCTAAAGGGTGTAAGGCATGGAAGTGATGGGTCGTGAGGTCAGATCGACTAGTTAGTTTCCTGTCAAAACGGAGAAAGGTCAAACTAGGAGCTCGAATGCCTACGCCACCAACACAGAAAAATTACTTACCCACAAGGTAAAGCTAGGAAACCAGTGTCATGGAACCCTCCCCTTCAAGTACTGCCAGAGAAAGTACCGAGAGGGGACACAGGCGACCTGTCCTCCACCGCACCCACGTGGGTGAGAGATGAGATCCAGAAGACGCATTTAGGCTCCCAACATCCAGATCAGGGGACTAAGTGATGCTCACTCCGGGAAGCGGAGATGCGCCCAAAACGCGGGATGCAGTGATGCTCCATTGAGCACCTTCTAGGTGCGGCGACCAAAATCCTCGGGGGACAGAGTCCCTCACGGAATCCCGAGAAGAGCCCTCACACACGACGTATCACCCGCCCCTGTCCCGCTCACCTGAGCCGGTGCCCGGGGTGGCGGCGTCGCCAGCCTCGTGCACAGTCCCCGGGCGCCGAGCAGCAGCCCGCTCCGCAGGCGCAAGATCAGCGTTGCCGAGGCCGCCATCTTGTACTGACGTCACGCTGCCCGCCCACCCACTTCCTTTTTACCCGCCCCAGGCCGGAACCACAGCCAATGAGTGCGTCGAAAAGGGGCTGGTGGACGGGAGCTCGAGAGAGACAAAGGGCTTCAGCCGGCCTACCGCGAACCGGCTAAACCTTGGTGCCCTGGGACCCCAGGGAAGGGTTACGGTCACCTGGCACCACGCCCCACTTCGGGTTGTCCGGCGCTCTGCCGCATTTGCAACAAGGTGCGGCGGGAATAAAGGGTCACACCCATTGCTGAAGTAAAATCGAAGCCATATAAGAGAAGCATATAAGATTATCCCAATAGCTGCCTTATGTGTCCAAAAAGCTAAGAATCCGGAAGCTCTTCTCGCCCTCCGGCGGGTGTGAAGATGGGGCGGGGGTGCTTTCACTTCCCAGTTGATGAAAGCGGACGCCTGCAAAGTGGACTGAAAAATCGATCCTTCCCAAATTCCATTGGGCAGCATCATTATCTGAGCCTTTCTTGCCCCTCCTACCCGGAATTTCCTATAAATGGAAATATTCAGAGCTAATCAAATGGGACTCAGTCAAAGGGACTGCGACAGGTCTGGCTGGACCATGTTTAAAAGGTGAGAAACCAGTAAGTTCACATCAGGCCAGACCAAGGTCAAGGGGGAGAATAAAGGATTCAAAGAATACCACATGTCAACAAAGGGAGTGAACTGGCCTCGACCACTGGGCTAAACCACAATGGAATGTCCCTCCCTAAAGAACCTACTATAAAAACCCGCCCCAACCCACCTTTGTTGTTGTTAAGTATGTAGATAACTCAGAGATCCTGTGAACAAAAGACCTGAACACTTGTGTAACAGTCATTGTTTCTCAAGTTCACAGGGTTTCCAGAGGCAAGTTATTTCCGAAGTGGATGCTACTCCTGCTTCCAAGCTTGTTTTAATCAGGGAGCTCCACCAAACACTGTCCACCATGGGTAACCATTCTCGAGTTTGACACATCAGGGTCACAGTGTTCAGCTTCACAGCAACCAGAGTTACCTCTGTATACAACAAATGGACAGACCAGAGCTTAGACACTTAGAAGAATGTTTGACCAAAAACAATTAAAACCAGGCCTGAGGGTCACAGATTAAAATCACCCAAGGCAACACTGCATGGTTCAAAATTGGGAAGGGCATACGCCAGGGATGCATCCTATCTCCATACCTTTTCAACCTATATGCAGAACAGATTATCTGGGAGGCTGGGCTGTATGAGGAGAAATGTGGGGTCAAGATTGGTGGACGATTTATCAATAACCTGCGTTATGCGGATGACACAACCCTGCTTGCTGAAAATGAAGAGGACCTGAAGCGCCTGCTGCAGAACGTCAAGGACTGCAGCCTACAATATGGACTGAGGCTCAACGTCAAGAAGACAAAGATTCTCACCACTGGACCAATTGGCAGCATCAGCATGGATGGTGAAGAGATTGAGATTGTTCACAGCTTTAGTTTGCTTGGCTCCACAGTCAACAGTCTTGGCACCAGCAGCCAGGAAATTAAAAGGCGCATTGCCATGGGAAAGTCTGCTGTTAGGGACCTCTCCAAAGTACTGAAGAGCAATGATGTCTCTCTGGAGACTAAGGTGCGTCTGATACAGGCTATGGTCTTCGCAATCACTTGTTATGCATCAGACAGTTGGACAATAACCAAGGAGGAAAGAAGGAGAATTGATGCCTTTGAGCTGTGGTGCTGGAGAAGAGTATTGAGAATACCATGGACTGCTAGGAAAACAAACAGATTTGTCCTGGAAAGGGTTAAACCGGGTGGGGTTCCTTGGAGGCAAGGATTCTGAGGCTCCGTCTAACATACTTTGGACATGTTGTGAGGAGAGACCGGTCCTTGGAGAGGGACATCATGCTTGGGAGGGTGGAGGGACTGCGCAGGAGAGGAAGGCCCTCTATGAGGTGGATTGATTCAGTGACTGGGATAATTGGGATGGGAGTGTCAGAGACAGTGCGATTGGCACTGGACAGAGCAGAGTTTAGGGCTGTTGTACATAGGGTCGCTATGAGTCGCAAGCGACTCGACCGCACATAACAACCACCACCACCACCTTTGGCTTGTTAGCATCACTTTCTATCTACGAGGCCAACAGAGCTCTATGTTGTTAAGTGCTGCAGAGTCAACAACCACCACCCACCTGAGGGCATGGTTTTCCTCTAGTCTGTCTCTCCAGACCAAGGAATCCCACCCAGAGCCTCCTTAATAAACCTGCTTTACGTTTTCTTTCTCTCTGGTCCCCTTTCTTGAGTCCTTGGCCTTACATCTGGTGCAAAAAACTAACAGTTTGAGGCTACCAGTTGCCACAAATTAATCTCAAAATTCTTTTTTGGGGGGGACAAAAAGAAACGGCTACTACTATTATGAAACTAAAAACATGATAAATGATCAGGTAGCACTTAAAGAGTAACCATATTAAGTTTAAAAGAGTATTCAATGCACACCTATGCTTATTGTTGTTTTGTTCACATGAGCAGTGAGATGGAAGCAACCTATGTGTCCATCAACAAATGAATGGAGAAGCTGTGATATATTCACACAATGCAGCACTGAAAAGCAAGGAGCTCATGTAATATTATACAAAATGGATGACCGTGGATGACATTATGCCGAGTGAATTATCTCAGTCACAAAAGGACAAATGGTGCATACTGCCACTCTCATAAAACAGGACTGATATCGGGGTTGGGAGAAACTAAGAAAAGAGGGGATACATTGAAACAGAAGAGGGAGAGAACTGTTCAAAAAGGATATATTATGGGAAGCCAAACTTTATACCAAATATTGTATGAAAACCTTTGTTCAGGAATTGAAGGAATTGCAGATTTGTAAGTGAGGATTTCTCTTGTGGCAGATCCCATCAAATAACCTGTTTGTTCCCTGCAGACAGGAAACAGCAAGGGGCCCCCTACAGAGGGAGTGTTACTTCCTGAGCTAGAGTTCACCTTGAGGCATCAAGGTTAATAGTTAAGGGTAAACCAACTTCTTGCATTTGTGAACCCCTCCTTCCTGAGTCAAGCAGAAGGTTTTCAATAGAAAGAGCTTGGCTTCATTTGCATTGTGATTCTTTGGGATTTAATTCCTGATAATTTTCAATAAAGACACAGAGAAGCTTGGTTTGGGGTCTTCAGTCGAGAACTGCTGGCCCCCTGTTTTATGCTCTCTGCTCTGTCACATTCCTGGCTGTTTGTCTCTTTATTAATAATTGAAAGATTATTCTATTCTTTGGGACCCTTGGTCTGCAACAATATATGATTAGGTATTATTTGCATGACAAGAGTCCAGAATAAGAACTGCATACTAAAGTGGACTGGGAGGAGGGGAGAATTGTATAACAATGAAATAAATTTTTTTTCCTTTTCAAAGAGAAAAGTGAACTGGGGGGAGGGGCAGGCAGGGAGGAAAATGTGCAACAATGAATGAATGGAAATACAAGTTCTCTATAATCTTTCATTAAAATATCAATAAAATTTTTTTAAAAGTATTCAATATTCTAATAACTGCTGCAGGTGCAGTGGTTAATCAATCAAAGTCAGTAGTTTGGACTCACGGGCCAAATGAGGTGGCTTTCTGCTTCTGTGAAAATTTAGCGCCTTGGAAAGAAACCCAGAACAATTCTTGTCTGCCCAGTTGAATCGGAACTGACTTGATGGCAGTAAGTCTGGAGGTATTAATGGTGAACCTCATATAGTATGATCACATGTGCCAGAATGGGATGTGATTTCAGCAGGCTGTGTGTGCTCTCTACTAATCTTTTTGTTTGTTTTTGTCACTAAGCTTGCTTAGTAGAGACCTCTCCAAGTGCTGAAGAGCAATGATGTGTGTCTGAAGATTATGGTGTGCCTGATCCAGGCCATAATTTTTGCAATTACTTGCTATGCTTCAGAGAGCTGGACAACGACTAGGAATGACAGAAAAAGAACTAATGCCTTTGAGATGTGGTGCTGGAAAAGAATACTGATTATACCATGGGCAGCTAAAAGAACAAACAGATTCGTCCTAGATAGGGTGAAGTCAGGCTGCTCCTTCGAGGCAAGGATTCTGAAGCTTCGTCTGACCTACACTGGACATGTTGCAAGGAGGGATCAGTCCTTGGAGAGGGACATCATGCTTGGGAGGGTGGAGGGACAGCGCAAGAGAGGAAGACCCTCGATGAGATGGATTGGGTCAATGACTGGGTTAATGGGAATACATGTGTAGGAGACAATAAAATTAGCACAGGATAGTGCAGGGTTTAGGGCTATTGTACATGGGGTCACCAGGAGTCGGAGGCAACTCAATGGCACATAACAACAACAATCTCTTTTGAGATGTCTCCTCACCCATTTCTCTAGAGCAACCCCCAATTGGTATTTTCTCGATGGAGAAGCTTGATCTTCATACACACAACAAGAGTATGGTCTATAAGTGATCCTGGTTATCAAAGACACACACAAACCCCCAAGACTTCTGACCAAACAGTTTTACTGAAAGATCTAAACACAAAAAGCAAGCTTGGGGATGGTGCATAAAGGTAAAGACTCTCCCCCCAGATTCTACTCTGATCATGATTAGTTCCCATGAACGTAAGAAAAGGAGGGTATGGGAACCCTTACAGGAAAGTAAAGGAAACCTGAATAAGAGTCTTGATTTACTGCAGCCTTTAAGGTTCTGTCTCAAAGGCAAGGGGAAGGGACACTTGTCACCTGTTAGGTGACAAGTCAACTGCCTGACTGCCTCAGGCCTCCAGAAGCTTCCCCAGGAAGCGCAGGTTGAGGATCTTCAGCTGGTCATCAAGGTCCATCCGGACAATGCCGTCTTCGCCATCTATGCTCAGCAGGATGCCTGTGGCTTCCCGGTCCTCACCCAAGATGACCTTCACCTGGGGGTGGGAGCACACGCTCAGGGTCTCGTATCAGCAGCCTGATGGCCCTCACCCAGCTTGTGCCCTTACCTTGTTGTTCTTAGTAGGGGTGACGGGCTCCAGGTGCTCACTGGAAATGCTGACAACCTTCTCGCTATCTTTCAGGTACACGGAACACATGCCTCCCTAAGGGTGAGCGACAGTCCAGTCAGCCTGTCCTCTGAA